TGCCGGTTAACGTGTATTTTGTAAGTTTGGTTTCCAATTTTCAATTTTAACGTGTAGGGTTAGAGTTATGTTAGTGAGTTAAGGGTTTACTAGTAATATTAATTCGGCCAGAATATTTGGGGAAGCCCAATTGTCAAAATTGTCAAATTAATTTTGGGAAAGAATAATGGAAAGTCTAATTGTCCAATTAATTTTTTTTAACGGGTAATCGGTTCGGGGCGGGGCATTGTCGCTAAACACCATACCCCTACCCCGAATCGGGTTATTAAAATCAAAACTATAACCACCCCATTGCACAATCGATTCGATTTTTTTCGCCCCATTCGGTTCGGTTAACCACAATTTTCGATTTTAAAAATTCGAATTGCCATCCCTAGTTTCTTGTCTCCTCCGAGCTTGGAGTAGGGACAAAGACTCCTATTTTCCACCCTAAATTTCTCTATCAAAACAAGATTGAGTTCTCAAGTTTGACACTGTTTGGCATCTATTATAACCATTAATTTTTACAAAACTCTATCACATTACTGGCCAGATTTTGACATATAAGGAGAATGTACATATAGTTTAATTCGTTGAATAGTGTTGTCCGAGTCCAAATATTGAAAAATATTCATGATCCCTATTTTCCACCACCAATTTATCAAAACATGAATTTTTTTTTTCTTCAACACGTTCTCGCAAAATAGTGGTTCGTTTGAGTTTAAAATGATCCAATTATATATTTGTATTTAATGAATCTTGATATCATGCCCACGTTTGATACACATTCTTTCAAAATATATTCTTTCAAAACTCATTTTCAATTACACATTTTTCAATAAAATAATATTTTTAATCACATCAATAATTTTTCTTTACGTTTTAACCACATATTTCTCATCATATCACTATTCAAAATACATTATTTTTTCAATAATATCCATCACACAAACTCATGGGGTGCAATCAATTTTGAAAAAGTAATATCTTAACATTCAATTTTGAAAAAGTAATATTCTAAAATTTATACTAAGTACAAGCTGTAAAATTTTCAGAAGTGTTTCATGTGCAGAAGCCATTTTGATAGAAAATTCACAGAAAACACACATGTGATCCTGCACATTATGTTCTATTTTTTTAAGACATGATGAGGCCCACTTATTATTAGTATTTTGGGGAATTTTTGTAAAAGCATTTATGTACAAATGGATTCTTCTTAAAATTTTATGAGAATAATGACAGCCCCTGACATGGGGTCACCCGCGATTTTTTAAAATTGCGGACCCCATCCCTTTGGGAGGGGCATTCATCATGATCTCCCAATTTATGAACCCTTATCTTAAGTATCAAATCGTTCAGAAGATAGTGACGATGCTATGACAATATATATCAACAATATTCCAAATCCATCACCAAAT